CAAAGGAGCAGAGTCTGGAGTGGGGCAGGGAAGCATGGGGCCGCTCAGCAGTCACAGGACTTGCTGATCATGCATCCCTCGTGCTCTGGCTTTGTTCCCGCAGGGACGAGTTCAACATCCAAGTCCTGCATGCCTTCGTGGAGCTGCACGAGTTCACTGACCTCAACCTCGTGCAGGCCCTGCGGTGAGCCAAGGGGGCTGGGAGCTGAGCCGTGTCCCATCAGGGGAGACGGGCAGTGGCTGGCAGGGGGCCATAGCGATGTGAGCGTGGCCGGAGGGAGCGGAGCGTGGAGCCCCCAAAGCAGCACGGCGCCTCGCTCTTCGCAGGCAGTTCCTGTGGAGCTTCCGGCTGCCCGGGGAGGCACAGAAGATCGACCGCATGATGGAGGCCTTCGCCCAGCGGTACTGCCAGTGCAACCCTGGCGTCTTCCAGTCCACAGGTGAGCACCTGCCCCAGCACCTCTCCCCGGCCGTCCTGCCTCGCAGCTGATTTTCCCCTCCGCCCCTGTAGACACCTGCTACGTGCTCTCCTTTGCTATCATCATGCTGAACACCAGCCTGCACAACCCCAATGTCAAGGATAAACCCACGGCAGAGCGCTTCATCGCCATGAACCGTGGTATCAACGATGGAGGGGACCTACCCGAGGAGCTGCTCCGGGTGAGGGACGGGATGCGGAGGGGCCGGGGCTGGGCTGCAGAGCTGGCCTGTCCGCAGGGCTCCTGGGAGGAGCAGAGTTGACGCCGTGTATTGTTGTACCAGAATCTCTACGAGAGCATCAAGAATGAACCTTTCAAAATCCCTGAGGATGATGGCAATGACCTCACCCACACCTTCTTCAACCCTGACCGGGAGGGCTGGCTCCTGAAGCTAGGTGAGTCCTGGCAGCTGGGCAGACACGGCCCAGGGAGGGCAGGCTCTCCCCAGGGACAGAGCTGGGCTGTGGGTGCAATGCCCCCGGGCTGCCTGCACTTCACCTGCTGGCCTGGCTCCTCGGAGCGTGGCCCTGTGGAGGGGCAAGAGGCTGCAGACCGGGGCACAGCCCCCATGGGGAAGGCGTCCGTACATCCAGCAGCCCTCCATCTTCCCCGGCTGGCAGCAGGGAAGCTGTGAGCGGACTCACAGCTGACAAGGCCCTGCAGTGTGGCTGGGTGGGTGCTCAAGGGATTCTGCCTCTAGGTTGGGCAAGCCCTGGGGTGCAGAGCTGGTACCGGGGTCCGGTGTCGGAGCATGGAGACCACGAGGCCCTTCTCATCACTGAGTCACAGTGAGGTCCTGTTGGAGCAGGCCCCCGGGAGCGAGCGGCAAGCTGCCCCAGGCTGCGTGCGGCCCCCCCTCCATGCCACAGACAAGTCCCTGCCTCACCTTCCCACAGCATTATCACCTCTGCATCCCGGCTCCACATGCAGGCAGCGTGCATGGCATCCCCGCTGCACAGCCCGGCTCTCGCGGCCGGCGAACCCGCCCCATGCCCTGGCTCCTGTGGCTTCTCCTCTCGGCAGCTCTGGGGAAAACTCTGCCTGGGTTAAGCGAAGTGGGACAGGGTGCTGGCAGGACCAGGATCTGGTGGGGGCCTTGCCCTGGGGCTCTCGCTGGAGTCGGGACTCTGTCCTTTCACCGGGGCGTGTTTCTGCCATATTGCCACCCCCTCCAGATGGGAGAGGGGCCTTACCCC